CTACCAAACCTAACAACGTTACGGTAAGGTAAGTTACTAACGTAGTTTAGGTTACGTAACGTAGTTTTGTCATGTCTTAGAGATGATATATAATATATATATATATATATATATATATACACACACACACACACACACTTATGAGTATTAAGAAAACATTTATTGCTAAATATAAAAGCTACATAGAGCTGGCTACTGAACTTGAAAAAGGAACAACAAGATAGGGATGGAAGTGAACATATCACTTGACCTGGATAATGATCACATAGCAGACTAAACCATCTTGACTTTACATGGAAAATAAAATCCCTACATTACTGGCTTCTCCACTTTGTCTGTAAAAAGCTTGGTGTTTGAATAGAATCTCAGTTTTCTTCATTATACCTTTCCTTAGTTAACTTTAGAATTAGTTAACTTTAGAATACTACTTTTATGACTATTTTGCAAGAGAGTAACATTTTACAATTGGAAATTCTGGTTCTATTTGTTTTGGCAGTGAGAAAGCCAGTAATAAAGGGATTTTATTCTCCATGTAAAGTTAAGACAACTTGGTCTGCTATGTGATCATTAGCTGGATTGAGTGATATGTTCACTTCCATCCCTATCTTATTTGGTTCTTTTTTCAAGTTCAGTAGCCAATCCTATATAGTTTTTTTATTTAGCAGTATTTTTTTTCCCAAATACTTGTTTGTTTACTTTTTTATAAGATGGCATACTTGGGTTACTAGGTTATAGAGTGTATTCTAAAGCTTTACAAATTTTGCACAGAATAATAATAAAATAGGTAGTCAAAAGATCATGAAAATTGTTTTGTTCTACCAAATGATGCTGAAATAACAGTTACTGCTAGAACTAGGTAGGCACTACGCATGTTGAAGAAAGATGATTATGAATGAAAATAAGAAGTCTTGGTTTTGGCTATTTGCCTGTTTTCAACCTTGGGATGTTCTGAATAGCTGAAAAACAGCATATTCACTGGAGATAGAGTGACTATGCCAGGTAGCTCTTCATATCTAGCTTCTGATAACTTGTATGTTTTTTGTTAACTCCTTCACTTCATACATAATATATGAGTTGGCTCCCTAAAGACACCAATTGTGTAGTGTACAAAGCATTGAATATTTTACATGTTAGAGAATTTTATTGTTTATTTATTATTGGCTGATAATTCCTGTTTCACCCTGTACTTAAGCTTTTTAAAGTAACACCATACTTCTGTAAGAAAGCTAACTTCAAGGGGTAATAACATCATTTACACTACAATGTTTTTTAATTTTGCATATAATAATAATAATAAAATAGGTATTCAACGATCATGTAAATTGTTTTGCTTTATCAGATAATTATAAAATTATAGTTACTGCTAGAACTAGGTAAATGCTAGGCTTGTTTAAGAAGGATGATGATGAATGAAAATGAGAAATTTCAGTTTTGGCCATTCGCTGGTTTTCGACTTTACGACACTATGGATAGCTGAAGAGTGGCATATACACTGGAGATAGAGTGACTATGCCAGGTAGCTCTTCATATCTAGCTTCTGATGACTTGTAGAGAAGAAAATCTAGAAGACTTTTGTATTGTTTTAATATGGACATCCATGCCTCCGTACATAAAGAGTGCTAGTGCACTCTCTGATGTATATTTTCATGTACTTCTACCTTAACAGTCAACATGATTCAAGTCTTTATTTGCAGTGGAAGTTTTATTTTGGTATTGTTTAACACAAACAGTGCAAGATACTTCTTGATGTGGTTAGTCAATTAATTAGTTTGTTGAGGAGAGAAAGTAGTATTAGCACTTTTAAGATATATTAGATTTACCAAAATGTATTTGAATTTTATTCTGCCTTAGAGCTAGGCAATTAACTCGATCAGTCGAGTACCTATGTGTAACAATTACATCAGTAATGTCATGTAAGATAACCCATTAATCCAAATTGCAATTAAATTGATTAATGTCATGAAAATAAGAAAGAACAATGAATGTTTCTGATTCTTCCAACTATCCAAGTGACTGAAATATTTTCATTATTATTTCTCATTATTATTTTTGTTTAATTCAATATTTTCAGCTTAGTCCATTAATGTTAAGACTCACAAAAATAATCAACCAATTGAAATTGGTGTTTCCAATTATTACTGTTTTTGATCATCCCAACTATCAAAGTCTTATGTAAGAATAATCGATTAGTTAATGTAATTGATTAATTACCTTGACAGTTAATCAGTTTCCATATTCCATTAATTGCCCAGCTGTACTCTGTCTACTTAGTTAATCTTAACTTAAACAAGGTAATCCAGGAAGTCAAATTTTGAAATATAGATTTTTTAAATATCTTTTTTTTAGGTGGCATCATAGCTCTTGGAGGTTTTGGAGGTTTTGTCTTTCTATCAGTAATCATCACTATCATAGTCATTCTTGTACGAAGGTGAGTTGTTCTTTACAGAATGTTTGCTACAGGTGACTTATAATTTTTTTTGTAAAATCTTGAAATATCAGATCTCTTAAGTTCAATAACACAAATATTTTTTGTTCACAATATATGTATCATAAACATTGTGAAGCTTCGATATCCTTCTGCAGTTGATTGTAGTTAAGTAAAACTTGCAGTATATTGAGGCATAAAGTCACTTGTTTCTCATAACCACCATATTATAAAGAGGATGAGTATGTTACACTATAACAATTTTGGAGCCTCACCACGTTGTTACAGTGTATGTCACCTTGTCTAGTCATGCTGTAACTGATAACCATGCAGCATGACAATAGCCCTACAGTATAGTTTCTATTACAAGGGGCTCCATTGTAAGGCTGACATGTTAAAAGCACACCCTTCCTCTTGTCTATAATACATCTAGTTATGAGAATGATTGTTTCCCAATGCCCATTTAAAAGAGTGATCACCCAGAAGTGCATAGGCAGTGTGTCTAATGAACTGACAGGTATGAATACCATTTCATTCTCCAGCTGCTTGAGGTGTGCAGTGATTGAATTGATAGTTTGTGGAATCAACCTGTGTACACGTGACTTGTTTCCCTTTTCCTTCATGACTATGTTTGGTACTGTTGCCTGGAGCACATGGATGGCTTTTGGACTGACCTTTGTGTTCATTGGCTTCTCACCTTTTACAAAATACAGCACTTACCACAGATGGGATATAACTTGTTGCAGAGCTTTCTTTGGATAGTCATGGTTCTCCAAGTTGATCCATATTCCTTTGTTTTCCAATAAGTTGTTACATAACTTACCTAAAAGCTATACATTTTTGGTGGCATCACACTACCTATGAAATGTCAAACAATATCAAAACATAGTTCTCATATATTCTCTCCATCACAACTTTATATTGACTGTGACATTTCATGTTGATGTGTATATTCAAAACCATTTTAATATAATGTACTCAACCCTCTGCATAGGTTCCATAATTTTTTCATAACTGCTGTATTATAGAGGTCAGACATACTTTTTCCATAACTACCATATTAATGAGATCTCCTAATATGCCATCACATTATATAGGACCTAATTTATCACAATTTCAGCATTTTAAAGATCACCTAATTTTTCATAACTACCACATAACTTAGGTCACCAAATGTTTCCTTAACTACCACATTAGAAAAGTTACTGAATTAGTCTGTAAGTATTGCATTGAAGAGGTCACCTAATTTTCCACAACTACCACCACACTATAGATTTTTTTTCTATTTGTCCATCCCTAATTTAGAAGTGATAAACTAGAGGAAAAGCAGCTAGTAATCACAACTGACTACCAATTATTGTACCATTCTAATCAGATAATGGGATTGATCATTACATTTTAATAGCCCTACATGGCTGAAAGAGCAGGCATGATTATGAGTAAAACACCCTATTCACCAACCGTGCCAGTCCCTCCAAATTATAGGAATCACCTAATTTGAAATAAGTACCACATTACAGAAGTCACCTAATTTCTCATAAATATCACATGAAAGATATCACCTGTTTGTCATATCAACACATTATAGAGGTATCCTAATTTGTCAGGAATACTACATTATACACATTTTAATTATGATAACAATATCTTGAAATTTTTTAAATTTTCAGCATCATTTTTCTAATTGCACCTTATAACTTGGAAATCAGTCTTTAGAATATTTTAAATAGTTTGAAATAATTTTTTTAACTAAAGATTATTCTAGTCTTGCTTCTGATATTTTGTTTTCCTTATTTTTATAAATTTTCCTCAAAGAGATATGGTTATATGGAAGTCAAGGCTTAGTTATATATATAACTATATAATTTAAGTGCACTTGAATAATTTTCCAGCATTTATTTCATTGTGTTTTCATTATTATCATTAAACTTATATTGAAGTAAATGTATATGCCAGATTGGTTGGTTAATTTAATCTTTATTTCTTTTCATAACTTAACTATTGTATCCTGAAATCTTTGGATATAAGTAAACTTTTACTGTGTGTCTGTTTAATTTCTATATATATTGGGATAATTGATTCTATAGACTTATTGTTTTATTGAAAGCAATTATTCAGGGTAAAATAAAACATTTTTCAACTGTTAAAACTTAATTTTATATTTAATTTCTAATGACAGGTTAATAACTACACTGCAACTTAATTATTTTGTGTTTTTTGTCATAGTAAATTTGAGAATTGACAAAGGTCTTAGGAACATAAATTACTTTAGAAAAGACTTATTCATTGCTATTTTGTTCTTATGCAAACAGGACCAGAAGTAAACAGAATTCTAAGCAATCACAAGATGAAACTACAGTCTCAACTTTTGATGGCAATGGAGATCATGGACTTCATAGACATTACCAACGTGCTTGGGACAATCTACACTATTCCTTTCAATATCATCCCCATCTTCAAGCAGTTCAACACCCAGTAATCAGACAAGAGACTCTTGAAAACTCCAATATTTGTAACAATGGAAAAGGAACTGTTGAAGGATTCCGGGAGGCCAATGAAATTTTAGTTAGTGATGTTGCAGCACTATATTCTCAACCTGAAAAGAAAACAAAATACAGCAAACATAGATCCAGATCTCACCAACCTAAAACGTTTTCTACCCATGAGCCTCATGAGGTTGGCACCTGGTACTCCCATGAGACTTGCTCAAGAAGAAGCAAGTATTAAATTAAAGATTTTACCTATCAATTCTTATGTTTAGCACTAACAAAAATATTCAGAGTTTACTACATCTAGTTATGAAATGTTCAGAGTTAGAGTATGTATTATAAGTGGTCAACTGGGTTAATGTAGATACAGTACATCCCTACTCCTCAGCCTCACATTGAGCTTTGTGCTAGTTGAATCACCAATGAAATTAATGTTATCTTTACAAAAAACAATTTCTTTAGCTATATACTTGATACCAGATTTTGAGGAGGATCAATATCTGATATATTAGTAACCAGTGGGGATAGTCTGATAATCAGTTTTCTGTAAAACAAATGCTACTTTGATATCAATAACCATTTTTATTTTGCTTGGAATAAGGTATATTTGTGTATTTCAGTAATTTAACAGGGATTTTCTTTCAGCTAAGATCCAGATTCACAAGCAATAGTGTCACAAAAAATTAAATGTAACTTGAACTTACATCTGTTAATGCTGAACATGTATAATAGCATTTATAATACTACTGACATATGGATGTATAGGTTGTATACCAGTACCTCAAGCTTATTATATTGATTTGATCCTTTGAGAAAGGTTTGTGTATTGAGGGTTGGGTGGGATGGGAGAAGTAAGAATAATAAAAAATGTGGTATTCTTTTTACATGTTTGTTGAGTAAAATATTGTGAACTTATATTTTTTTGATGATTTTTCTTTATAGTATATTTATTACTCTTTTTAAATATAAGCTTTTTATACATGATTGTTTAGATAAAAATCCACAAGCTGAATGTTTCAGACTTTTAATTCCTTTTATTTTGTCAGAATATATCCAGACAACTCAAAATGTAAAAAAAATATAATGGTAATTGTTTAAAACCAAGAACAAATAGTCATATAAGACTATTTTTATTTTAACAGTATTTAATAGTCATTTATATGATCAGTAAATAATAATCAATTACCTTTCAATGTAAATATGTGATAAACTGAATAAATAAATTGTGAAAAACTAGGAGTTGCCTCCAGCTACTGTTACTAGGTAAAACTAAAATAGATTTATAAAATGGATACTAGTGTCATAAGTCTCTAGTACTGAACAGTGCAGTTAACTGAACTAGCAGTAAACATACAATTATTGTTTGGCAAAATGAATAAATTTGCACAAAAAAAGATAACTACAGAAAATTAGCTTGCATTAAAAAACAAAACAGGTACAAAATAATAAAATTCTAATATTAGCAGTGAGATAAAAAGTTCTAAAATGATACCACACCTCTTCATACAGTTAAGCTATAACCCTGTGCTTCTGCCTTAGAGATTTGCATGCCACTAGCCTTTAGTGAACTGCAAATTAATCTTATGAAATTTTCTCATGAATTGTGCTACTGCATAATGATATCATTATGCAGGAAAAGCCCTACACCAATAGGAGGGCAACACACCTCGTTGCTCACTAACTCTCTCTATGCATTTCTTAATTTCTTTTTCTCGGCACTGTACTAATCAAATGTGTTTTTTCTTTTTCAATTTAATGGGATTTGCAATGTTTAAGGAACTTAATTTCCATCTTTTTTCCTACAAACTATAAATGCACTAGTTCATATAACATCTTTCACTACTTGTGTGAGTGAATAATTTCCTTACATAGGTGACTGAGGATGATGTGATGATCACTGTGCAAAGGGTAGTGGTTTCCCTTATGAAGCCAAAACTTTCAGCACCAATCTCTCCTACAGGTGTTCCTTCCCCTTGTTTTGAGGAGGATGAATTTGATTGTTTTCTCATCCTGGTTATGCTTTGAGAACTTCTCTCACTTTTGAAAAGAACCCTCAAACTTTCTTGCGTTGTCATGACTTAATTTCACAGGTATGAACCATTGTATTTCTTTCCCCTGTGTAATATGACTCTTTTTGTTTCCTACGTTGTAATCCTACCCCTCACTAATTTTCGTTTTGCCTTTCCTTGACTAACTATGTTCCCGAAACTTCATTTCTCACCTATCCCTGTCTGTCTGATTCTTATATCCTCAATTTTAGTTATTCTGAACTCCCTTTCTTGATTCCAAAATTTGGAATTTCTCTTGTCTGTTTCTTTTATTTGGGGGGGGGGGGATTATAAAGTGTTGGTTTTGCCCTCCAGTGCCCAGTACTTCTATCTTCACCTGATCTTCCTTACCATACTTATTTGCCTCTCCTCTCCACATCTAAAGTCTGAGGCACTCCACCATGCCTTAAAGACTTTTTCTGGGCGATTCTAATTTCCTTCATTTCTCCACTTCTACCTTTTCCCTGCTCACTAGGCTGTTTGTTGCTGGGAATTGTTGGGTAGGGATACTCTTCTTTCCCAGGTTTGACTTTTCTTTTCTTGTATGAGATCTAGTCTTCCTTCTTTACCCTGAAGTTTTTGGGGGTATTTCTGATTTGATTGAGTCATGGATCATGGTCTGTGGCTGCTCGTCATCAATCCTTGCTTTTGTCCTTAGTTTCCACACTGCCCAAAACCCAACTATCCACCACTCTCCCTCAACTTAGTTCTCAGTTTTCCACCTTTTAATTCCCACTTCCAAACTTTTCTCATGTTGGGTCCTGTGGGTTCCTCTCTGTCATGTTTGAGCAAGGTCCCAAGGGGACAATGTTCATCAATAGTTCCAAATTTTTATTCACTCCCACTCAATATCTTATTCATCTGGGAGTGTTTTCAACTCCTTTCTCCCATCTGCATGTGAGCTATGGAATTACTAGTCACCAGTATTCACGCTTATTCTACTCATACTGCACAAAAGATTTTTGCTTTTGGAAACCATGACTTCATTGGAACTGCTTTTTCCTTTGGTTGCACACATATGTACCTCCTCCATTGAACTTTGTGTGACTTATGGAACCACTCATGGGAACCTTTGACCTCAATGGATCAACTGTCCCCTCTTCTACTCAAAGATTTGCATTTTTGGCTGGACAGATCCAATATCACCATCAGTGTTCCATTACCTCCACCCAAACTAGACCTGCTCCTCTTCACTGATGCTTTCCTCTCTGGTTGAGGAGCATCTCTGAACAAAAATTTCATGTTGGGCTCATTGACCCAGGATGAGTCCATATCAATGCATTCAAACTTCTGGTAGTCCATCAAGTATGCTTCCAGTTCTTACCCCTCCACATATATCATTTAATCATGATCCATTCCAACAACTCCATAGTTTTCTTATATCAACTACCAAGGGGTAACTTAATCCAGGACCCTTTGCCTTCATTTCCTAGACCTTCTTTATTAAGCTCATTCTCAATGGTTTCATCTCATCGACTGCCATGTACCAAGTGCTATGAACCTGGTTTCAGATCACCTCTTTCAGCTGGATCATGTTTCTTCACTCCCAAGTTTCAATTGGGTATGCTTTCTGTTGAGTACTCCACTCGTTGATACAGTTGACACCCTCTAAATTCCAAGCTTCCTCTTCAAGTCTCTTGTTCCTTATTCCTTGGCCTTGGCTGTTGATGTTTTCAGCCAGGAATGGTCTCATATTTTACTTTATGCTTACCCACCTTTCCATATTTTGCTTTGGGTCCTAGGCTTGATTTGAGACACTCTTTGTCATGTCCTGTTGGCGACACTCCTATGGCTAAATCTACGTTTAGTCTACTCCTCATTGGGGTTGATGCTTATCTTCCTATCAGATTCATCACCCCACTCATTCTCTCACCACTCATTTCCAACAGCTGCTGGATAAGTTCTTTCAGGCAGGCATGTGGACTACTCTTCAAACCTTCATCGCCAATTATCTTCACCATCTGGCTGTCTCATTTCTTGAAGTTTACAACCTGTCTCTGCCATTATACAAAGTCTATTCACTCTCTAGACTGGTGAATAGCTTTTTATTTTACAGTATTTGCTTATAGAATCCCACCAGCTGGCTGGTGGTACCTCCAAGGGTATACTTACTTTCCAAAATTTTGCATTGTGCTAAAATAACAAAGTGCTCATACTATCTGGTCTGGCTCCATATATGCCCACTGTGAGATGGGTTGTTCCATAAGATATATCCTCATGATATATTTATATATCTGACTACTGTCCAATCCAAACTGTACCTATTCAATGAACTATCATGGAAAAAGCCAGCACCAGGGATGTTCTGCTCAATTCCCTGTCTCATACTTGTTGGTTTTTCAAAATATGGATATGCAGTCACCCGTTGCACTATATCCAATAAAATACCTTTCCAGCTGAAGGATTGATGGGAATCTGGGCATTTTCTCCAGGCTCCCTACCATGAATTCCTCCTCCCTTTTCTCTTCATGTGAAGCACAAGAGACCTTTGCCACTTACCAGTTCCTAACCACTGGGGTGGTTAACCATGGAGAATCCTCACCAGTTGAGACCTCACTGCTGGAGCTAGAACAAGGGGTGCCAATCAGTGAGAAGTAGGACGGTGGTGACACTGGCTTTGTAGCACAGGTCAACCCTCATGTATCTATACTTATACCACTTGCACTCTCTCCTCCTGTGGTCTAAGTCTGTACAATTTAGTTGAGGTGAGCACACATTATAATGCTGTGTCCTCCTACAGCTAGTCTGTTCTGTAGAGTTGAGGTGAGCACATTACATGGTATATTCCATCCTCTTGCAGCCTGCAACTATCCAATACAGTTGAGGTGAGCACACACCACTACCATGCTCTCCTCCTGTATACATTACCTGCTCAGTTGCATTAAGGCAAGTATGCACTAACAAACCATGTACTCCTCTTGTAGCTGATATCTGTTCAGCTGAGTTGAGGTGTGCACACACAACATACTACTCTTCATGACATGACTATTGTGCCCAGGACCCACAGTTGGTGTCAGTTCAATGTAGTCTGATAGTAGAGTTGAGGTTAGCACAAAGTATGGTCTGAACGTACTCGAACCATGCTACTCCTGTTGGCTCTCCGACTTCTTGTGTGCAGTTACTAGGACAGTCATGTTCTTATTCCATCCATCCCTGTGCTTCTGCTTTGGAGATTTGAATGCCACTAGCCTTTAGTGAACTTCCAACTAATCTCACAAGATTTTCTTGTAAGTTGTGTTACTGCATAATAACATCATTGTGCCGCAAAAGTCCTCCACCAATAGGAGGGTGACAGAACTCCTTGCACCCTAAGACTTACTATGTATGCATGTGCACTCATGAATCTTCTTTCTTTGCTGAGGCAAGTAAGAAATGTGCACCGTTAGTGAGTAGGATGGGTAGGAATGTGTGTGACAGGTGATTATCTATTGGAAATACATTTTCAGTTAAAGAGAATGTTAAAGTTTCATAAAAGTACAGAAAGTTGAAAAGCAATTAGTGAAATAAGCAAACAAAAATCTCCCAGAACAATATAGGAGGATAGAGTTAGCAATGAAAATAATTCCAAACAATACAGAAAGATAAAACAGTAGTGGTAAACTAAACAGCTACAGAACAATACACATATAGAACATCAGCAGTGAAGTTAGAAGAAATTTCCAAAGCAATACCCAATATAAAATGGTGAAATATTGAAATTAATAATTGAAGAACAAATATAAATCAATGCATTTCTTGTGAAGTTGCATTATTTGTACTGGGTATATAGCAAACAAAACAAACATGAATTTAATTCATAAAGCATTGTACACTTTTAATTGTGGTAATCACAGGTAGAACCATAAGTTAGTCAGCACTAATTATAGCAGTATGATAAGTTCAAAAAGATTTGGTTTCAGAAAAAACAAAGAATATATAATATTGAACTCTTACACAAGTTGCCAGTGGTGGTGTTTTTCTAATAATTAATATCACAGTCATGCTGGTCAGCCTTTTTGGTTCTGGTTTAAACTGGCTGCTAGAGCAAGGTAGGATGGATCTCATACCACAGTTTAATCCTAGTGTGGTATTACAAATCC